TATATATATATATTAGTATATCTTTTTCTATTTACATGTATCTATGTACATGCATAGATAGACATAATAAAAATAAATAAATAAATAAATAAATAAATAAATAAATAAATAAATAAATAAAAAGGATAATTAATTAATTAATTAATTAATTAATTAATTAATTATAATTGGGGTGTATATGCAGGTCCTTCATCGTGCAAGAGAAAGAAGAGTAATTAGTAAAGTACAAGCAACACAATTAATGAATGATTTTAGTCGTGCATTATCTTAATTAATTAATTAATTAATTAATTAATTAATTAATTAATTAAATTAATTAATTAATTAATTAATTATATTTAATTATATAAATAAGTAAATAAATATATTAATTATTATTATATTAAATAATTTATTTTATTTTCTTTATTTAAAAAAATAATCACAAAAATAAATAATGCTGCTGCTGCTGCAGCCGCAGCAGCTGCTGCTGCAGCAGCTAATCTGCTGCTGCTGCTGCAGCAACAGCAACAGCAGCAATTGCTGTTGCTGCTGCTGCTGCTGCTGCTGCTTTATTGAAGGTAGCGGACAGCTGCAACAAAACTTCTATATATGTTAATAAATATATTCGGGTGTATAGGCAGCTATTTAATTTATACAACAATAAACAGCTAGGGGGAGTGCATAAATGTTGCAGGTATGTGCACCAAGTTGCCAATTATTCCTCATATGTATGCATGCATGCATGCATGCATGCATGCATGCATGAATGGGTGCATGCATGCATGCATAAATAAACAAGCTACATGCGCATGCATGAATGCATTGTAGGGTATGATCATAAAAGAAGAGTTATGCCTTATACACCCTGTATATATATATATATATATATATATATATATATATATATATACACAGACAGCAGACCCAATAACATAGCTATGTCCTCTTATAGGGATCGTAGGCAGCAACAACTCTCCTTTCTTCCTTATTAATAAATCCCTTTATCTCTTTTTTTTCCTACACATTTACAATAAAATTACTCAATAGCAAGAAAAAAAAAAAAAAAAAAAAAAAAAAAAAAAAAAAAAAT